ATATCTCAGCACCCACCAGGCCGATTTTGACATTCTAACTACTATTAGATGCGTTTTGACAAGCTTTACAAAAGTCTCTTAAGCAAGAAAGGTGATTAACTTAGTATGAAAAATGTTTACCTTGGGCGATCGCCAAATTTGCACTATAGTAAATTTATATAGTAATCTGAGTTATATTTTATTATGATCATTCTTCAGGTGACTGGTGAATCATCAATTAAGATGAATTTTTTTTTTACTATGCTTTATTTTGGTTTACTTCATTTTACTTTTCTTCGCTTTATTTTATCTTTGCTTTTCTATCAAACTTTTTTTTATGTACACTTTTAATTTTTTTATTTTTGGTTTGACTTTTTATTTAACTTCTACTTTTATTTACATTTTCTAAATTAAAAAAAAATGACAAAGCATAGCTCTCAATTCATTACATCATCTAAAGAAGAAATTGTAGAATTTCAGCAAGCATCAAGAAATAAAAATATAGATAAATCAATGAATATTTGGATGGATTTACTTTATAAGTTTTGTCAACTACATGGATATTTAAATGAGCTTAAAGAACTTGATGACAAAATATTATCTAAACAGCTTGAACAATTTATAGTTGAAGTTTGTAAGTCAAATGGTCAAGAATATAAAGCCTCTTCACTTTATACTAGTTTTTGTGCAATTTCATGAGGAATTTCTAAAGCCTTTGAAAATACAAGAACCATTAATTTATTTGATAAGCAACAATTTAAAAATTTGCATAGAACATTGGATGGTCATATGAAATCAATTGTTGAAAAAGGATATAAAAATCATAAACAATCAAATCCCTTAGAGACTGATGAAATAAAGTTATTGCTTGACTCACTTGCAACATCAATTAATGATCCTAAAGGTTTTATACAATGGGTTTGGCTTTGGTTGTCATTACTATGCTGCTTAAGAGGTAATAATGCTAAACATTTAAAAGCTTCTTGTCTTAAAGAATTAGAGAATAGCAGAATGCAACTTGGATTATCTAAGGAAAAAAATAATGCAGATGGTATTAAGAATCCATATACTATAGCAGATTCTAGTTCTATACCTGCCAACATTCCTGAAAATATATATACACCAGTCGCAAATATTAAAAAGTACTTAACCAAACGTCTAAATAATACAGAGGATGATTTTTTTTTTGTTACACTAAATACACCTAAAAAAATTTATCTTGATGAATGGTATTTACCTGCTAAATTAGGAAAAGAATCACATAATACAATAATGTATTCAATATGTAAAGATACAAAATTGGATTTTAAAAGTAATACAATTACAAATCATTTAATGCATTCAATAGGTATTCATAATCTTGTAGAATCTGGTGTAATGCTTGATGAGCAGATGATTTTTTCTTAGCATAAAACTATTGCTGGTATATCTGCTTATAAACATCAATCCCTAAAGTACAAGCTGGACAATGTATTTCATTTAATTCCAGTTGAAGAAGTGGGTAATTCATATTTATATATTTTAAGAATTTTTTAAATTGTAATATGTACATATACTTAATATTTATTATGAATTAGAACCCTCGATGATGAAAGACTCTACATTAATCCACAATAATTAAATTGGTAATACAATATTGATAATTGTTTTATTTAAGTTATAATTAATGATTTTTTTTTTTAGGATTTTTTAAGGCATTAGATTTAATTCCAAATAAGTGAAGTAAAACGTCTAATGTATTTGAAGATAAAGCAAATAATCAAAAATCAAGCATTCCAAAAATTTCTATTAAAAATTGCAGCAACATAAGTGTTAATATTACCTTCAATAATATTTAATAATTTTACTCTAAAATGCTATTAATCGGTAATGTTAATCAAATTTAATGTAATAAAAAAACATTAATCACAACTAATTAAAGCACTTGATTTAAAGTGCAAGAATTTGTCTGATCAATTAAAGTTTGTAGCCAAAAATATGATCATTTTATCTCAAACCACAAGAATTAAAAAAAAAAAGTTGATTAGTTAAAATTTCTAATTCAAAGTACAAGAATTTTTAAAAAAAGCATGAGAATTAAAGAAATGCTGGCCTAATTAAATTTACTAACCAAGACATTATGAGAATTTTAAAGTTTCTGGCCCAAAGTATAAGATTTAAAATTAATTAAAGTTACTGGCCCAAAGTAATATGAGAATTTAAAAAAAATTGTCGAGTTAATTATGTTCGTAATTTAAAAATGTGAAAATTTTTTAAAAACTCTGAATTAATTAAAACTGATAAATTATAATTTCCTGATGATCAATATGAGACCGGGAATTTTCTATAGAAAGATTCCTGGTCACAATATAATCATCATAAATATAGTTGAGCACGTGTAAAAAATTATAATGAAGACAGTCATGAGTAATACTTAGTGCGACAAGGAATTAATAAGAAAAATTAGATTTCTACCAACTAACAGGATTTGAATACTCAATGAATATCCAGAGTATAGTTCTTAAAAATTTATCTGATTTGGTAATATTTTTGCATAATGCTATAAATCTTAATAAATAAAAGATTAAATTAATATTAAAAACAATATCAGTCAATTATGACTATTAACTCTTTTCGACGATCACTTGGTCCAAATTTCCTACGAAAGAAAAGTTGTTGTTTTTTTGCTGGAGATAGGTGCTGGGGTCTAAGTAGCCCTAAAAGCAAAACGGTTTTTATAGAGATCAACTTTTTACTTTTGGGGACTCCTCTATATATTCAGCAAGCAAGCCAAAAGCGTCAGTATACAAGATAACTGGCAGAAGGTGGTGCTCTTGTATATGAAATTTTGGTGGAAAGGTGGAGGTGAAAAGTCCAAGCCTTCCGTCAACAAAGTGAGCTGCTAAGAAATACTGGAGAGCAGTAAAAAGCACATTTTCCTTAAGCCACACTCTTTTACTTTGGCCAAGTGATTCCTACATTACTCTTTTTCACCCTCCTGCCGTTCTTACAAAATTTTCGACAAAAAGTGGGCGATTTGGCTTACCCCCTCCAAAAGATCGGCATTGTTTATCTTCCAAATTCAGATGTACCCAGAAATGCAACCACGTGCCTTGTTTATCGGTGGATATGATACGTGACGTAGTCTATAGATACGGGACTTCTATGTGACTGGAATCGGGTCTCTGGCATAAGAGGCATCCAGAGTTGGCTGGTAGTCAGATAATAAAGGTTTATATAATAGTCGAGATATACAAACGTTGCAGTTGTTATAAAATTTTTTCTTAAACCTGGCACAGGTTATAATAGTGTATTTC